ATTACTTAATACTACTTATTATTAACTAACTATTCTTATTTCTATTTATCATGGGCTGTTTACATTATATATTTTTATATATATTATGTACAGTTTCCTTATTTCTACTTTTATTTATTCTTTTTTTACAACTTTGTTTGCTATATTCTTACAGTAAGTTAAAAATCTATTTCTGACATGCTTATTACTTATAATTTTATGTACATTTTGTTTATTTACCTTAATTTCTATCTCTATTTCTATATCTGTTCGCTCTTTACCATAAGTAGGGCACTCCGTTATGAGGTGAATAATTGATTCCTCCTTCTCTGGATCGCAGATACACGACGGGCTCTCTTTACATTTGAACCTATACAAATATTCAGAGAACCCGCCGTGACCTGTCATCACCTGTACCACTATATGATCCATTTCTATTTTTCTAACTATGGGATATGCACTCAAGGCATCCGGGAAAAATACCTTGGTGGTGGAAGCCGTTCTTCCTTCTATATATGTACGATTCCATTCGTCAAGCGATTCCAGACGTATCTGTCGCTTGACGAATGATACCGGACATTTTCCATAGTGAGGCTTACATTTGCTTTTAATTGCGGCTTCTTTAGCTAGTAGATCCGCTCTCTCGTTTCCCTCCAACCCTGCGTGTGCTTTAACCCAGTAAAGTTTAAGGGATTTCCCTTGTTTGTCTAATTTGCTGATATTTTCTCTTATTTCTACCGCTATAGGATGGAGGGAAACGTTTTGGACGACTGTCTGGAGAGCAGATCTAGAGTCGCTATATACATTACAGCTCTCTGCCGGGTCCCTGAGGGCATGCCTGCTTGCTTCCAATATGGCCAACAGCTCAGCCTGGAAGACGGTGCAAAAATTTTCCAACTTTAGTTTCCGGTGACTTATCTCCGCCGCGTCATTCCATATGGATAACGCAGCGCCGACTTTCCCGTCAATCCTACTGCCGTCAGTATAAATTTTTAGGCCTTGGTTGTCGTGTTGGTCCATTTGTGCACCGTCCTCCAGACATGTGAATTGGAGGCCATGCTGGTCCGCGGGGTGTGGTGTCCTGTCAAATTCTACTTTTCTTTCTATTTCTCTGTCCCCTACCACTCGCCGGGAGTAACCTTTCTTTATCTCATAAAGTAAAGCCGCTTCCCGGACTCTCAGATCCAGAGGAAGCAGCCCGGCGAGTAGTAGGGCCGAGTGCAAAGACACAGTTTTATATGACTTCACGATTTTCTGTACGAACCCGCGTTGGACCGCATCGAACTGTTTTTTAATTAGCTGTTTATTTGTTGCCGGTGACCAGGCGCTTGCCGCATACATGATGATTGGCTCCACTACCGCGATGTAGATGGTCCTAATAATCTCGGAGTTTAGGCCCCAATGAACCTTTGCGGCTCTGCACAGCTGACGGTATATGTTTTGTGCCTTACAGCACACGTTTTTCACGTGGGTGTTGAAAGTTAGCTTATTGTCAACTGTGAGGCCGAGTATTTTTATCTCCTTTGACATTACAATGCTTTCCCCACCCATATTCAGAAGTGGCGAGTCATATTTGGTCTTGTTCGTAATGACCATTGCTTTAGTTTTCTGAGATGCGAATTTTAACTTATTTTTGACTCCCCACTTCCGAACATGTGCGAGGGCTGCATTTGCTCTCTCCTGCACTTCCAAAGCCTTGTCTCCGGAGAATATTAGGACCACGTCGTCTGCGAAAGCCTGGCAGTACTCCCCTCTATCAGTTAACTCTTTCAGGAGTGGGTCCAACAGAAGGTTCCAGAACAGTGGACCACCTATTGAGCCCTGCACGCACCCCTTCGTGGTCTTTTTTACCCATTCCGCCCCTGAATATAGGATGGATACAGATCTATCATTGAGGTAACTATCTACTAGTCGCCTAATGTTTATGGGCTTCCGGTTTCTGCAAGTGCACATCGTACAGCTGGCCACCAGGCGTTATCGAAGGCTCCCTCTATGTCCAATGATACTAATACAGTCAATTTTTTATCATTGATATTAGCCTTTATAAGCTGTATCATGTCATAGAGGGAAACCTCGGTGCTGCGCTGTGGCATAAAACCATATTGTTTTTTGCTTAGTTTGGGTACGATGTGCCACTTAGTCCTATATTAGGGACTTATGATAATAAACTCAATGATCGAAAAGCAATACATCTCTATGTCTCTATGATGAATTTGCATTACAATAGTGGGAGCGTGGGTTGAAGTCCTATATATTAATGACTTATGAAAGTAAGGTCTAAGATACAAAAGCAACACTATAGAAGGTCTCTATGATGAATTTGCATTACAATAGTTGGGTCGTGGGTTCGAGTCCTATATATGAATGACTTATGAAAGTAAGGTCTATGATATAAAAGCAATATTATAGAAGCTTACCCCTGTGTAGACTGCTGCATGTCCGGGATTTCATCAGCATCTTCTTCTTCTATCTAGAAAACAATAAAACATAGCATTAAAATACTAATTCTGTTTTTTTTTTGTTTTAGTTACCAAGTACTACACAAGCATAGGTTAACAAGGCAAACAATTTCAGATTCCCTCACTGCTTAGGTGCTCAAGGCGGAAAGCGCATAAATATACTACCACCTGCTCACAGTGCATCCGACTATTTTAATTACAAAGGTGGTTTTAGCATTGTTCTCCTAGCTTTAGTAGACGACGATTACTGTTTCATGTTTGCTGAAGTAGTCGCCAAGGGACGGATCAGTGATGGCAGGGTATTTAATAGGAGTGTGTTATTGAAAAAAAATGACGAATGGCACCATCAATTTCCCGTCACCTAGCCCACTTTCAGGAAGTAATATTGATATCCCCTATGTATTTTTGGGCGATGGAGCGTTCCCTTTAAGTACAAATTTAATGAAACCTTTTCCTGGTCACCGTGCAATTGGTACTCCAGAAAGGTTGTTTAATCAAGAACTTTCTCGCTCTCGAGTAATCGTCGAAAATACTTTTGGCATAACGGCCAGTAAGTTTAGAGTTTTTAAAAAACCTATGCAATTGTGTGACGTTAAGGCTTCTATTATTACCGTGACATGCGTTACATAATTTCTTAAGAAAAAGTTCAACGTCTAGGGAACGGTACAATCCTCCAGGTACCACTAATACATACATGAAGGGTCAACTCGTCTCTCCAGGTTCTTGGAGACAGAATAATGGTAGCGTATTCACATCGCTACAATAAACATCTCGAAGAGCTACAAATAACGCTACTCAAATAAGAGAATGCTTCGTGACTTTTTTTTTAATAATTCTGCTAATTAGAAGTTTTCGTTTTACTTCAGATAGCCTAGTGCGATAATTGTGCTTCCCAATAATTGTCACTATTTCCATTCCATACTAATTGTACTAGGCACTCTGAATACTTTTATAACTTATAGGTATGTACTTTTAACTATTTCAAATGAACGGTATAGGTACGAATTGTATTGAGATTAAGAAATAATATTTATCTACTATAAAGTTTGTTTTACGTACATCGACTTTGTCCGCCGTAACTAGTGTTGCCCAAATGCAAGAACGAGACGAGACTTAGCCAGTCTTGGTCTTGGCCTTGCGCCAATACACCTGGTCTTGTTCTTAGTCTTGGTATTGCCCTCTCAGTCTTGTTCTTGGTCTTGGTCTTGCAGCAAGAGTCTCGCAAGTCTCGCAATTAACTATTAGCCTATTGTTATTTATTAAACGTTACTTTAGATCTTAGAACAACTTAACAGAGCAGGCACATTTGAACTTGAATTAACATAGTCATAGAAAGACCAACCAAATTAATAAATGTCTAAACATTTAATGAGAAATACGAAAAATCAACTAATACCGGGTGGGGTTTGAACCCACGACCTAAGCGATCCGTGCCGATGCTCTAACCAAATGAGCCGTCTACCAAGTCTCACAGCCACGGGAGTTAGTCTGTTTCTTAATAAACGTTTACATTTAATAAGCTTACATGTGCTAAAACTTAGTCAAAACATATAAAAAACAAATTAATGGCATTATCTTGACCGTATTATAAAGAACATTATCTGTCTAGAAAGAGATTGAAATGGAATAAAAGAGTTATACAATTTACCATTTATTTAAATAAAAAAATAAAATACAATACAAATTAAATTACATAACAGTACACAACAGCTTTGACATTACTGTTACTTTATATTAATTATTTTGACCAAGAATTAATAAATTATTGCTACCAATTTCTAAAATACAAAACAGCCTATAATTAATGCTATAAGAGACGAGAACGGATGTATTCTGAATGATGAAGTTTCGAATTTAAACAGATGGAAGGAATACTTTGAATGCGTGTTTATGAGTGAAGAGTCGTCTGAATTAAATGAACTAGAAACTCCGAAAGAAGTGGAAAGGGGTATGGAGATAAGTGTAGATGAAATAATGAAAGCAGGTAAGGCAGCTGGATATGATATAGTATCACTCGAGATGCTAAGGGCTGGAGAGGGAGTGGTGGCAGGCCTGCTGTACACCTTGTTTAATTTATGTTGGGAATTAAAACGGGTACCGGATGACTGATGTAAAGCAGTTATAGTACCAATATATAAAGAAAAAGGGTCATAGCAGGACTGCAAAAACCACCGTGGTATCAGCTTGCTTAGTATTGTCGGTAAACTGTATGCTAAGGTGTTAATTGAAAGAGTTGTGATAGAAAAATTTGGGATGTGCAAGCTGGTTTTAGAAAGGGAATGGGGTGTACAGATCAGTAGGTCTACTCTAATTCAACGAAAAACGAAATTTCGATCGAAATTTCGCTCAATTCCTACCATGGTTCCATTCGATTCGAAACTTCGTTGAAACGAAATTAGTTTGACGTTTAAATTCTCTAAGCCTACTCTATTGCACTAAAGTTACGAACGAAAATTGAAGTTTGACAGATACTTGTTCGTAATTTTAACCTCAAATTGACGAAACCAAAAGTGTTAACTTTTTATTTTCGTTTTGGTTGATTTTGTTAAAAATTTAACTAAAATGGCTACGAGACAGCTTTTAATCGCGGCTGCTTTACGTGAAGAACGATTGGAGCGTAGAAGGAACCGGCGCCGCCTGCGTAATCAATTAAATATTTCAAATATTCCCGATCTAGAGTTTGTCGGAAATTACAGACTCAGTCGGGAATTATTCGAGGAGTTGTGCCAGGACATAGTGCCTTTATTGCCTCCAAAGGAAAGACGACATGGAATCGAGCCCACACTTAAAGTAAGTTTAAATTAATGATTTCTTAAATTTACGCGAACACTACACATTGAATAAAACTATTATTTACGGATTTTATCGCGTTTAATTACTTTAATTTATTTTTATTATTATCCCGACGTTTCGGGTGCTTTACAGCGCCCATGGTCACGGGGGGGACTGAGATGTTTGACGTCCCAATGTCATAGTTAGTCCGGCTACCTTCAGTTTTTTTAATATTAATTTTTTGGTCCGATTTACGCAAAACGAGCTTATAGTATCATGAAGTCTTGCAGTGGTATGCTTGGGTTTGGGTTTAATTTTGTTAATTATAGGATCCCAAGCAGATGGTAGCACCCAACCATCTTCTCTATTGAAATTTGGATGTTTTTTAATTTCAATAGCCTCGCGTATCATCCTTGGTAGGAATCGGTGTTCTTTTGCGAGAATTTGTGGTTTATCAAATCTAATGTAATGGTGGGGACGATCTTGAACATGTTCGCAGACTGCAGACTTCCCGGAGCGTCGGTGCTTCACATCAGCTATATGTTCCTTCACGCGGCTTTTTATAGATCTCTTTGTTTGACCTATGTAAGAGAGACCACATTCACAATCTAGCTTGTACACACCTGCATCTTGTAGAGGAATATTACATTTGATGGATGGTAAAAATTGACTAATCTTCTTCAGCGGCTTGTAGTATGTCTTAATGGACGCTCGCTTCAAGATGTAGCCAATCTTGTCCGTGACTCCTCTAACATATGGTAGTAGAGCAGGCGCGCGCTCGACTGTGGCCGGCTTCACTCGTTCACTGTGACGTAGGCGCGGGACCCGAAGCTTGTTGTCTTGCAATACTTGCTTGACGTGCTGAAGCTCCGCGGCCAGATGTTTTCTGTCACAGATCCCTCGTGCTCTCTGAAACAAAGATTTACCCACGGTAGCTAACTGTGAAGGATGATGGTGAGATTCACCATTTAAATATCGGTTGGTATGGATCTTTTTCCTATAAACAGATAAAATATTATTTACGGATTTTATCTGTGTATAGGAAAAAGACCCGTACCAACCGGTATTCAAATGGTGAATCTCACCATCATCCTTCACAGTTAGCTACCGTGGGTAAATCTTTGTTTCAGAGAGCACGAGGGATCTGTGACAGAAAACATCTGGCCGCGGAGTTTCAGCACGTCAAGCAAGTATTGCAAGACAACAAGCTTCGGGTCCCGCGCCTACGTCACAGTGAACGAGTGAAGTCGGCCACAGTCGAGCGCGCGCCTGCTCTACTACCATATGTTAGAGGAGTCACGGACAAGATTGGCTACATCTTGAAGCGAGCGTCCATTAAGACATACTACAAGCCGCTGAAGAAGATCAGTCAATTTTTACCATCCATCAAATGTAATATTCCTCTACAAGATGCAGGTGTGTACAAGCTAGATTGTGAATGTGGTCTGTCTTACATAGGTCAAACAAAGAGATCTATAAAAACCCGCGTGAAGGAACATATAGCTGATGTGAAGCACCGACGCTCCGGGAAGTCTGCAGTCTGCGAACATGTTCAAGATCGTCCCCACCATTACATTAGATTTGATAAACCACAAATTCTCGCAAAAGAACACCGATTCCTACCAAGGATGATACGCGAGGCTATTGAAATTAAAAAACATCCAAATTTCAATAGAGAAGATGGTTGGGTGCTACCATCTGCTTGGGATCCCATAATTAACAAAATTAAACCCAAACCCAAGCATACCACTGCAAGACTTCATGATACTATAAGCTCGTTTTGCGTAAATCGGACCAAAAATTAATATTAAAAAACTGAAGGTAGCCGGACTAACTATGACATTGGGACGTCAAACATCTCAGTCCCCCCGTGACCATGGGCGCTGTAAAGCACCCGAAACGTCGGGATAATAATAAAAATAAATTAAAGTAATTAAACGCGATAAAATCCGTAAATAATAGTTTTATTCAATAAGTTAAATTGTTTAAACACTCCCTTCTCTTTAATTTTTCATTTTACTGTTCATAAGCCTCAATCTGTGTTAATGTATTTCAGATACTTACTGCTTTGAACTTTTATGCCCGAGGAAGTTACCAGGGGTCAGTGGGACAAAATATGGATGGGCCCATGGCACAACAGACAGTGTCCCGTTGTTTACAAGAGGTAACAACTGCACTTAATGCACCCCACATACTAAGGAAGCAAATAAGATTCCCACAAAATAGGAATGAAAAAAAATCTTATTAAGCGGAAGTAAGTACTTACCTTCCTATCGAATATTGACCGTTAAACTTATTAACATGTGAAATACCTAGTAATTAAAATATTATTCTGTTATTTTAAATGAACAATTTACATAAAAAGTGTGCCAAGACTAGGCAAATAAGTCATGCAAAAACAAATATAATTTTATTGCACAATTTACTATTGTATAATAATATTGTATCCTTATTGTAGATTTTATGATAAATATGGGCTACCCGCTGTGGTGGGGTTCATCGATTGTTCACATGTAGCTATAGTGAGGCCTTCGGAGCACGAGGAACAATATTTTAATCGAAAACATTTTCATTCGATTAATACTCAAGTTGTAAGTTTATGAACAATATTTTAATGTTTTTATTATGACATTCACTATTTTATTACTTACATTTTATCCTATGTTACATTGATGTAAATTCTTTTTCAGATATGTGACAGTGATTTATTAATTACAAATGTTGATGCTTCATATGGTGGAGCAACTCACGACGCTTATATTTGGAGGGAATGTGAGATAAGAAACCACTTGGAGGGTCTCCAGGATGAAACAGTTTATCTATTAGGCATGTCTTAATTTATAGTTTTGATATTCATTATGTATAAGTAATGTGATGATGCAATTTACACTAATATTATATTTTTAAATTTTTAGGTGATTCTGGTTATGCTCTAAGGGAGCATATGATGACACCTGTAGATAATGCTGTTGAGAACTCTCCAGAGGGAAGGTACAATTACCTCCAAAAACGTGCACGCTGCACCATAGAACGCACATTTGGTGTATTGAAGGGTCGATGGAGATGTCTTTTGGCAGCTAGGGAACTCCATTACTGCCCAGAAACAGCAGGTAAAATTATATTAGCCTGCTGTGTTTTACACAACATGTGTATAAGGGCTGGTATTGAAGGTGCCGAGTTGACTGAAGAGGAACACCAATCGGAGAGAACCAGGCAGGTTCCCTTTGAAACAGCCGCATCTTCTACTCAAGCTCTACAGGCAGGTCGAAGGGCAAGGAATTCATTAATACAAATGTTAGAAAGGAACCGGTAAGATAAACTCAAACCAAAAAATTAAAAAGTAGATTAAATAAACTCAATTACAAACTTTTTTTTGTTTTAGGAGATAATCATCATCATCATCATATCGGCCACATTTAAGCCATTTATTTGTGATTAAGTAACAATCAAAATTCATACTTTCTCATTTATAATATTATAGGATTAGGAATTAATATTACTGAAATGTATGGCAATCGCTTCTTACCTAAAACATACACTTCTTCTTATCTTGTTATAATTGTAAGCAATGCGTTTTTTTAATGTTAACTTTTATGTCTAATGAATTTAGTTAATATTGCTTTTTGTACAACATTATCTATTTAGGTATGAATTTTCGAGTAGGTACCTACTAGACAGTGATTTCTCAACTAGTTGAAAGTTATTTGCTCTTACCTATCCGATGTGTAGATAATTAATTTCAATACCTACCCATTGTATGTAAACTTCTGTTAATTTTTGTGATGGAAAATTACATTACCTTAAAAGTCATTTTACAAATTTGATGACTCTGTATGAAATGTGCAAGGAGAAAAAAAATCAGCCCTTAACGAGTTTCTTGCCGGTTCTTCTCGTTACAAGGTCTCCCGCTTAGGGTTTGAGAACCGATGGCGTAGCTTCTTTGACATTCACAAGTGCTTGTAACAGCCTAGATTAAAAAATTTTTAGGCATAAAATTAGTTCTGTTTAATTTTTTCACCTACTTATCGTTATCCTACCTACCTAGATGTTCATAAAATGGCAACAAATATTTACTTAATCCTTACCTATGACATTGCAGATATTTTGTCACATACAGAGAAAATAATAACTTCTATGATTTTAAATACTTAACAGTATCTTTATATTATATCGAATTATGGCCATGATAATCAGCTATCAGTAATAATAATGTTCTTATTTTAGCTTTCTTAATCTGAAAGTACAAATAGTCTCAAAAATAGTAAAAAGAAACAATAGTATTCTAAAATAAATTTATTTAAAACCTAACGCCTATTTTGCCTTAAAAACTCTAAATAATCTCGCCCTATGTCACGCAACTCTTCCAAGGCAGCCCTGAACCCTGCGAGCTCGGTGTTCCTCACTGTCTCTCTCTTTGCACGTCCATCTTCATACTGGTACAATCTGCTTCTGACATCGGAGCCAGCAGCAGATTGTATTCTTCTGGGACGTGCAGATTGTGAGGCTGCAAAACAACATTCCAATATGTTACATTGCAGTAAATACTTAATCAATAAGTATATTTTTTTGTGACAAACAATATTTTTCTTGTAATTTTAATCTCGACTGTAGTTTAGTGGTAAGACCTTCATGTATCAAATACATCCATACATACCTTGTGTATCAATTTCGATCGAAATTTCGTTTTTCGTTGAATTAGAGTAGACCTGCTGGCTTTCTTTGCTTGGGTCGGCGTACTCCTCAACTTCTACATGCAAGTTCAGGTTCTGCTGCTGCAGTTAGCTTAATTGACTGTAGGTTGATGGTCTGGATTCATTCGTCTGAAATGAATATAAAAGATTGAATGCTTAATGTTTAAGTGAAGTATTAATTTTTAATGTCTACCACAATACAAATTGTATTGTATTTTTACCTGATGGGTTAAAAAAGTAGCATACTCACATAGAAAAATAATTTTGTAAATAAAAATCATATATAATTAAGATAAGTATTTGAACATATCAAAGTTTAGAAATAGGGAAACCAAAGAATGATGAGGTACTTACTTCGGTGAAAGCTGGCACTCTGGCTCCAATTTGGCGGTCACCGAACACATCTCCCATTATGGATAAGACTTTTAATTCCGAATAGGAGAGTTGGGGTGCCACCGATGGACCACCTCCAGTCATTGAAGCCGACCTCCGGGAATCAGCAGCAGCTTTTTTGGCCAGATGTTTTCTATCAATCCATACCTATCCAAAATAAAAGTAAATATTAAATCTTTGTCACTCACTTTTCACTGATAAATAGCTTAAGCATTTAATTATATTACTACGAATTACCTTTTGCCACTGCTGAACTGTCTTTGTGCAACCGCCCATGGAATTGAGCGTATTGCACAATTCATCCCACAGCCTCTTCGCCTGGACTTTTCCTTCTAGACTCCTCAATCTCCCGCGAGCAAGATCCCTATGCTCGTCCAGGAAATTGAGGAGTGCATCAATTTATTCAGGAGTAGCCGAACCCGTATGTGGAGCCATTATTTTACACTGAAAGATGAGATGAAAATAAATTATAGGTACCTATTATTACAAAAAAATACGTTATGGAAGTATTATAAGTGCAACACAATTAACATTACTTACACTCTTTCTGAATATAAAACCAAATTAAACCAAATAGAAGTCTTTGTGGACCAAAGGACGCCCATATGAAGACTGCGACTTGAAATTGAAACTTTGTCAGGGAATGTGTATCGCGTTTGCAAAGTAGGCAAAGAAAAAAACAAACCATATTAATAACTCTTCACTTGAGCATACAGGAAACAATCTCTACCTACGTCTTACACTTGAGCTTGAGAAACAAACTTAAAACTATTCAAACTTTCAAAGAATGCAAACAAAAAAATCCACAAGTGATGACAACTTGTGATAATACGGATAAGTTTGGTTGTTATACGATACTATAAACACCGTTTATTATTATTGTACACCTTAACTTAGTCGGTTAACGGTCATTGAAAGGGTTATTTTAGTGTCACTGTGATTTTCTTCGTAAACTTGTATATTTATTGCTTATGTAAGATTTTCTGGAATAATATGCATAAAAACCACGATTATTTTAATAAATTCGTAAAATACATAACATTGTTCGTTCCATTCGTTCACGAAAATTGTCTGTGGACTCGAACTTTGCGTGCGCGTCCGAAAATGATATAGAGTAGGGTCAGACACGAAACATTGTTTAAATTTCGTTCGATAACGAAGTTTCGTTTCGGAGAAAGAGAGTAGGCCTTCAGGTCTTTTCCATGCGCATAATTGCGGAGAAGTTTTTGGCCAAAAACCAGAAAGTTTTTTGTGCGTTCATGGACTTGGAAAAGGCTTATGACAGAGTGGACAGGAATGTGTTAAGGCAAACACTGAACTCATATGGGTTGAGCGCTGGTTTGATACAGGCATTAAGGTCTCTTTATAGGGACTCTAGTGCTTGTGTCAGGATCAATGGGGTCTACTCGGACTGGTTTGGCATCCAAAAAGGTGTCAGACAGGGCTGTGTAGCTTCACCTTGGCTGTCAACCTATTTATAGACAGGTGTTTGCAAACTTTGAAAGATGAAGAATGTGGGTTAAGAATGGTCGAGTTAACCGTCAAATGCCTTTTGTATGCCGATGATCAAGTCATATTTGCGTCATCGGCGGCTGAGTTGCAAATGATCGTTACGTTAATGAACTGGGCATTAAAGGAAAGGGGAATGAAAGTGAACGTAAGTAAGACGAAATCGATGGTTTTTGAAAGAGAAGAAAACAAAACGGTATGTGAAATAAGAATAGAAGGAGAGTTAATTGAGCAAGTGGGAAAGTTTGTGTATTTGGGATGTGCATTTAGCAGGGATGGTAGATATGGTAAGGATATAGAACGACGAATAAATGCAGGGAATAGAGTGAATGGGGCACTACACTCTATCATGAAGAATCAGAATGTGTCAAAAAGGGCACGTATGGTAATTCATAATGCTGTGTTAGTCCCTACTTTAATGTATGGTAGTGAAAGCTGGGTGTGACAGAAGAAACACGAAAGTAGAATAAATGCTGTAGAAATACGGTCTTTAAGGCGTATAAAGTAAGTAAAGTAAAGTTACAGCCTATACATGTCCCACTGCTGGGCACAGGCCTACCCTCATTTCTGAGAGGGTTTTAGGGCAAGGAAGTGTCCACCGCGCTGCCCCAATGCGTGTTGGCGAACTTCACATGTCTTCGAAATATTTTTTTTCTCTCATTTCTCAGACATGCAGGTTTCCTCACGATATTTTCCTTCACCGCTGAGCACGTGGTAAATCAGCACTTAAAATTGCAATTAACAATTTAATTAAGGCATATGCTAGGGTTAAATCTGAATGACAGGGTGAGAAATTGCGTGATAAGAGATAAATGTGGTTGCAAGATGATGTTGTGACCAGGATTAAGAAAGGAATGCATCGGTGGTTTGGTGTTGTAGAAAGAATGAATGAGGAAAGAGTGAAAAAGCAAATTTATATGGCAGATGTGAATGGCAGAGTCGGGAAGGGACGCCCTAGAAAAAAGTTTATCGACCAAATTGGCGATATTTTAAAATGGGCCACGTTAGAAGTACCCTTAACCGACGAGCATGTATGCGTAGATATATGGATGTAAAGGAGGCGAAAGAGGTATGTCAGGATCGTGCCAAATGGAAGTCCGTAGTCTCTGCCTACCCCTCTGGGTGACAGGCGTGAGTGTTTATGTATTTATGTATGTACTTCTAAAATGAAGCTCTTTTCCTCAGGCCCTTACATAATGTCAATAACTGTCTATAATAGTAAACTACCAAACTCATTAAAAAACGAAACAAATGATCATATTTGTACAAGAAAAAAGTGTTTCTAATCAATAAATGTTATTATACTTTATATGAATACCTGAATGACAAATGTAATAATAATAACGAAAACTATAAATAAATGAATGAATAACACGAATAATGATAGTATAATAATAAGGAATAATATAAATATAATAAATAATATAATAATTATAATGAATAATAAAACATTTTTGCGTCCTCCTCTGTTCTAATTTGCTGTACCCGACAGGGTCCATATTGTGAAAATTGAATATTATTAATTTTTACATCATGGAATGCTAATAAATATATTGTAAAAAATTACGGTAGCGACAGTAAGTTTTTCGAAGTATGTCATTTTGAGGGTCTTTTTTTAAGTTTTTTATGCATGCCGTCTCTATTTAGAATACATCTTAATAACCTAGGAGTCATCCAGGGTTTGAAAATCCTTCGTGGGCTGGGCAAGAACTTGGGCTTGGAATGTTGATCTGTCGCAGCCTGAAGTTTACTAATAAACAGGTTAGTTGCTAGGTTTGGATCAGTGAGCTGGTACATCGCTGAGTACGTCGGAGAAGCTTACTTTTTTTAAGTTGTCCATAAGGTTGGGGATGTCAAACTTTTTTGAGACTTTGGAAGATGAATGTGATATATTCTTCATAGAGACGGCAAGTAAGATAGCGGCGTGGTCCTTAACTGAGGATTGGATCACAAGACATAGGGCTGGAAAGGTAGTTTTTAGAAAGATATGGTCGAGACAGGCCAGTTTACGAGTGGGAAGAGTATGGGCTGGCAAACCATGACCATTGTACGCGAGCATATTCAAATACGCTTCAGTATTTTGATCAGGGGTTGAGTTTGGTGTAATATTGATATATGCAATAATATTTTTAAATTTGTTTAAAGAAGCTAAAGTCTGACAAAGAGAATTTATAAAGTTTAGGGGATTTCAAAATGCACATGGTCGATATATAGCTAAAATTACAATTTCTTGCTGTATTTGGATGAGGAGCGAGGTGGTGTCGACTATTTTCGGGTCAGAAATAAAAACATTGGTAATTGAGTTGTTGTAGTAGACTACGACGCCATCGTTCTGGTTCATTGGGTTAGATGAAGTATGGGATACAAAACTAGGGAGATTGGGAATAGCTGGTTCAATGCCGAGCCAACATTCTGTCAATATCAAAACATCCAGGTCAGTGTTGATATTATGTAACAGGGTTGAGAAATTATGTATATTGGCCTTTATACTGCAAATATTAGGATTTTTAATGGTTTTCAATGGTCGAAACGCTCTCGCTGTCAATAACCTGGGCACTACCCAGGTTATTTGCAGCGAGAGCGTTTCGAACTTCATGTGGATCACAAGAGGATGCACTGCAAATAGTCACACTATCTATATTTTTAATTAGGTCCATATCGTGTGTGATGTATTAGGGGTAAATAGTGTTGGGTTGCAAAATGGGGGCCACAATGGCATGTAGCCTCCAAGTGCAGGGTATTGGGGAGACGGGTAGGAACTCCTGTGTGGCAACCAAAAAGAGATTTGCTATGTAAAAGATGAAGTTTAAGCCTATGTGACAAAATGGGAAGGAATAATATAACAAGGTAATTATGACGAATTAATCGATGGAGTTCAGAGTTAGCAGTAGTATATTTAATAAGAGTAAATATTGCTAGGTATTTTTGTGTTGTGTTTGTTTGAAGAAACATTTTTACGTAAAATGTATTTATGTTAGTGTGAGAAGTTTGATGTGGATGTGTATGAAAGAAATTAAGTATATACTTCGATTTTGAAATACATATGTATACAAAAGAAATATCGTCTAAGAACTACAATAATATAACTAAAAATTTAGATAGTTGATATTCACTGGTAAGGACAATGAGTTTGCCGTTGTCTTCTTTGCGGAGAAGAACCCTGCAATTTGCTGTCCAACAATGTTTGAAGTTTTCGGCTTTGGCAAACTCGCGGGCCAGATAAAAAAAGCCTGCGGGTACGGGCTGTGAGGTTTTCAGATACATAGATCAGTTGGCCAGGATATTCTGGAGCTAAAACCTTTGCGTTAAACTTACCGCCCGAGTTCTTATTGTATTCCTTGAAGGCCTTTGGTTTTTTAAGATGACAGAGTTGAGGGTCACAAGTATGGTCTTGGTATCTTGCTTGGAGGGGACTCTGCGGGCGATTTTAACATTTTGCCGTTTAATATAAAATATTGTAGGCCTAAATAATGCGTTCTAGGCCTAAATGTTCCGACGGCAATTTACAGCGATACGTACGTTAATCACTTGTGAAGGGCGTGACGATCCCCGTGAGAATCCAGCTCCTGCGCAGGGGGCGGGGCGAACCAATCGACGCTAAGTAGTGCGGAGGGACGCTGAGCAATGGGATGGGTCACATACAAGGACGGCACTTAGATAGTTTTGTAGGTCACACTCACTTTAAGGATATCCTCGTCCCGTCCGAGTCGTAAGCTCTTCTCGGCCGATGCGGCCGTGGTACTTCACAGTATTTTTTTAGAGATTATTTTATTAAAAATTCAAGAAATAATTTAGCAGAGTTGTCGTAAACACGTCTGACTGACCAGACAGCCAGCGGGAGAGCCAACTTACTATGGCTGATTCTAATGTAGTGGGTTGTGCTATTCGAACCGCTATAGAAACTTGGAAGTCTAAATTACTTGTGTATTGTTCTATTACCATGTTTTCCTAATACGACTTATTAGTATGTGCGCCTACAAAAAATAAGGTATCTAGTATTTCTCGAAGCCGCCTACCAAGTGTATCGGCATCCTCGTTTCTGTTACGCCGCACCCTACTTAGCTCTAGCATAACCTGGATTTCGTTTCTAGGTTCTCTTAATCTACGTACGAGCGCATCTTTAATAATTTCCCAAGAATTAAGAGTTTCTTGGTATGCTATCGCATCTATCAAACTAAATAAGGAAGGAAATAAAGCAAAGGAACTTGAAAAAGCGAGAGTACTCACCAAAGCGGCTTCTGCATCTCCTCACGGGTCTGAGTCAGCTCCAGGTGAAGTCTTCGTCCGTGCCGCCGTCGTAGACCCGAAGTCGCGATTTATACGATCGAAACCGTTCAATTGGTCGAAGGTTCTACCAATTGTCGCGAAAGACCGACTGCGCCTGTTCCGATATGGCGGAGATCGAAAGATTTTTAAAAAAATATAATTAATTTAATTTCAGAAAAGTAACAAATATAATTAATTCAAACAAAATGTAAAATTACAAAAAAGAAGTTAGGTGATGCGTGGATGGTGTCAGACTGCGAGACAGTTCCATTGTTTCTATAATGATTCTTTTCGAAGCGCAAGCATTCCACATATGTCCATTGTTCGTGTAACTGCTATGTCAGCCCGATTCCAGGGTTACGACACGTTAACTACCGACGAGATTGGTTTGTTTACTTCGTAGACCAGTAGTGGTGGCGGCCGACGGGCGCGGAACGGGGTAAAAGCACGTAAAATTCAACCAATCAGCGTACAACTCGCGTTCGTCGCATCATTTTACCGAAAGACATCGTAAATTGATTTCGGTGCTTTTAAACTCTGTTGTCAACTTCTTATAATTTCCCGCTTTTATTTTCCTCACACAATAATTAAGAACCGAATTATTATGTGTAATGTAATATAACCTTCACATAAAATCACCAAAAATACTTCCCGGGAAAAGTCCCGGTTTGATTTTTAAGGGAAAATCGTACATGGAAACCAAATAATTGCGTGTAATATTATATAAACTTCGCATAAAATCGCTAAAAAACTTGTTTCCGGGAAAAGCCCCGGTTTTATTTTGCAGGTAAAATCGTACAAGGAATGGTGGGGACAAACACAGAATAAATGAAAAAAAAAAATGGAACCAAATAAGTGTGTGTAATGAAATATAAACTTATCATAAATTCACATTTTGTTAAAAATTATTGTATGTAATATTTTTAACAAATTTCGTTCCAGCCCTATTTATTTTATTTTATATTATTTTATTTATTTTATTTTATTTGTAAGACAAACAGCTATCATAATTAGGATTGATAGTATTAATAACAACAGTAAGTCACTTAAAGATCCTCACTAATACATACAAAGGTGAATTTACAACAGTGATAAATACGATTTAACACTCGAAAGTATCCAATACAACATATTTATACCAAATGAGAGCTAAACTTGTTATTATACATATAAAAGACAATCAACTTATACTTAGGACAGTAATAACACTACAAGCTATTTTAAGAGAAAAATAAACACAAATACAAAAGTAAATCATAGTTGTGTAGCAACGCATCAATATCTCACTTAGAGCTACCAAAAAATGCATTGTTAAGTATGCGCCTAGCTGACGCAGCACTAGTGTTAAACAAATCGAAGTTAAACTCATTGGCTAGCTTATTGAAATTATTGCTCGCTCGCCATATAAATGTGTTTTGCCTATAATTTGTAGATGAAAACGGGAGACTTAAAATTTTGTTGTATCTAAGAGGTTTGGCAGGACAGCTAACATGTAGTTGAGATAAAAGCCCAGGACAGTCAATAGCACTACAAGCTATTTTTAACAGAAAAGTGAGGTCAGCAATCTCACGACGCATAGCAAGAGGAAGAAGGTGATGTTTTTTTACAATAACTAATATAATTATCTGAGGTATAGCTATAGTCATTGGTTCTATAACAGAGGTAACACATAAACTTACTTTGCGGGTAATATATGTTGCATACCTGGGGTTTCAGATTTGAGATGCGTACTCCAAATTACTTCTTACAAGAGAACAAAATAGGATCTTTAGAGTTTTAGCTTTAGTAAAGTCCCTAGAGCTACGCATCAGAAATCCAAGAGCTTTCGTAGATTTGGTTATAATGCTTTCTAAGTGAACGTCAAATATCAATTTGGAAGCATGGAGAACACCGAGATCTCTAACAATGGAATCCCCTTTTAAGATTTTCACCTTTCAATTTATAGTTAAAGACAATCGGTTTATATTTGCGACTATAGGACATAAAGCTACATTTCGAAGGGTTCAAATCTAAGAAGGACAATAACGCTCTAGATTTGATAGATCTTCTTGTAGAGCCTCAGCATCCTCGATTGATGTTATTTTCAGAAATAGCTTCATATCATCGGCAAAACATAATAAGCGAGCTTTCTTCAGGTAATAGGTAATGTCATTAATAAAAATAACAAATAATAACGGAACCAGCAGTGAGCCCTGTGGCACCCCACTTGGAACAGTTACCCATCCTGATATGTAGTTGCTGACGACAACAGCTTGTGATCGATTATTTATATAAGACGTAAACCACCGAATCAGATCGCCGTTTATACCGATTTGGGACAGTTTCAGCAATAGCAAATTATGATGTATTCTGTCAAAGGCTTTACTATAATCGGTGTAAACGACATCTAACTTGTAGCGATTGTCCATTGCCTCAGTCAAATATGCATTAAAGAGCGCAAGATTTGAAACAGTAGAGCGTCCTCTTAAAAAACCATGTTGAGTCGGATTGAATGAATGCTTTAGGGCCGCGTATAATTGATTATATATAATTCGTTCGAACACTTTAGATACAATACATAACTTGGAAATCGGTCGATAATTAGTAACTTCGGTCTTGGAACCCTTTTTATGTACAGGCGTGATAAATGCACGCTTCCAGATGGTAGGAACAATACCTGTACTGAGGGACTTTTTAAACAAAATAGTCAAAGGAAAGAAAAAAAATAGATATAATAATAGACTAATAGAAATAGAAAAATATAAGAAAAAAATAGAAAAGAAAAGGCCTTTGAAAGAAAATAAAATAAATAAAACTAATCATATCATATCAGATTTTATTCGTTTGCAATGTTATTTTAGACCTTTCAAAAGTGAGCAAACATATTATAAAAAATAATAATTTGTATGCAACTACTTTGATAATAAAAAAAATATATATGATATACTAAATCACTTTTTGTACGTGTACATACATCGTTAAATTGAGCGTATTCAATACCAGCAGAAATAATTCCCAGAAACTGAAACTTGATTTCAAATTTCGTTAAAGTTTCGTTTTGGGTTCTGAGTCCATTAAAAAGCTTTTCTTGAACTTTAATTTCAGTAGTGTGAGCAATCCTCGTCTTTTTCAAATAAAATTTGCATATTGCTTAATGCACATCCAAAGGATCTGTTATGATCGGTTATGCATTATAGTTTTACGAAATATTTTAAATCTATAATTCAAGAAGAATTGTAGATTTAAATCAAAAGCATAAGTTATTATGGATTCTTCAGTACTATAACTGGTTTCATACCCGAAACGAATAAATATTATTACTAAATATATGTAATTCATATTATTCAAAACTCATTAAATATACTCGAAGTGCATACCAATTGTTATCATCGTCGGGTGCATTTTGGCTGTCATTATTTTCCAAGGTTAATGGCATTTGCTGTCTGTAAAAATGAAATATATAAAAATTCAATGTTATGAGTCTGAAGACCGAAATTTAGACCGGTATATTTATGTATTTTTTATTATTTAACGGTCCATAACATAATATAAGAAAATAGTTTACAGGTCGACTTAATATTTAACACATTTAAGTGGTAGAGCCATGCTGCAGTTATATTAGTAGTATAGTTGTAGCACGAATGGGTCGGCTCGACCGGGGAAGGACCACGCTCTCACAGAATACCAGCGTAAAATAGTAGCTTAATGCTGCTGTATTTCGTATGGTGAGTGTAGAGAACCGGAGACCCTTTTTACTGGAAACGAGGCATTCCATCTTAGTCCTCACGGGTGACAACGCATCTGCATTTTGATTCGCAATCGAGGATAGATGTAGATGTCTATGGGCCACAGCAACCACTTACCATCAGGTGGACTGTGTGCTCGTTTGTCACCCTATCCTATAAAAAAAAAACGCAACCTGATTTACATTTCCATTTCATGTAACAAATTAATATCACTTTCATCCTTGTTTAATTTTGAATAATTAATTTTCTTAACTGTTTGCGTTCTGCAACAATTGTATTGTTATCATTTTGGTTTATATTGGGTTCTTAAATACGAAATTAGCATTTTGTCGTACCGACCACTTTGATCTGAAATATCTCCTTTGGTTAAAAATTTCAAATTCAAATTTGTAAATTTATTTAGCTAGTACATTTGAGTTTTGAAAACAGTCAGTCATTCATTTGTTTTTTTCTGAAGCTCGCTGTTAATTGCATCGACGCGTTAGTAGTTTGTGCTACGTTGGCCTGGGACATTGAACTTTGACCAGCCATCCTTGAGTTGTGACGCGTGTCACTGTTTAACGTCGTTTTAACGTTGTTTTGGTTTAACTTGAAGTTGATTAAATGTACAATAAAGTGATAAACTAATATAGTGAAAGTAGAAGCGGAATTGTTCCATTGTTGAACCCCCCTTGAATGGATCCCACAATTGGAGAGAGGCCAGCCTTGGGATCTGCTGACCAGCACCGGCGGGGGATCAGGTTACACATTGAACACAACTCACATTCACCTCACTTTCACCTGAGTATTCCTGTGGTTAACCCCACTTCAGGTAAGTCTTATGTTTGTGTACCTAACCTGTCTAATTTATTTATCCATAGGCCATTTTGGGCTCAACCTTCCGTTACTCGTCGAGTTGGACTCCTGATGGGCCTGAGTTGAACGACCTTGTCAGGGTAACTTTAGGCCGTAACATTCTGGTAGCAGAGCGTGGTTTCTTGATTGTTTTTGCAATCACTCCCGGCCGTATTACGTAATAATAATTTTTTTGTTTTGTTCGCGTGCTGTTTGTTAGCGGATCGGTGTAGAACCACGTAATAAAAATATTTTTTTCTTTTCTTTCTTTCTTTTCTTTGTTCGCTTACTTTGTTAGGGTAGGTAGAATTTAGAGCCACGCCCGTAAGCGGCGTAAGCGGAGTGTAGTTAGGTTAGGTACCGTCACTCGTCGTGTAAGGTTGATAATTACCGTTATCACATAAGCGTGGAATTATCGTATTATCGTTATTGTATTCGTGTGTATTTAGTATTGCATTTGGATTGTTGGTTAAATTGCCGAAGTGTCGGTCTCCTTAGCGTTGCGTCTTGTTGACCGACTGTAGTTAGTACTCGCGGAGGAGTAATTGTGTTTGATTTAATTAACCTTCGGCATACAACGTGAGGTATTTTTAACCCCAGCTCCAGAAAAATACGTCGACTTGTAAGTAATAATCGAGCAATGACATTGAAATTCCCAGTAGCTGGGTGTTAAAAGTTGCCGCGTCGACTCTTTACCTTGGATCAGTGCTGCGCGGAACGTGTTCGTGTGCGCACGCGCGTATCCCGGTGTTTTTAACTCCACGTTGTATGGGACCGCTGAAAAGGTATGTATGCAGTTTTATGTTTCTTTGTTATTTTCAACCTTATTTTGTTTATATTTATGTAGTTTGTATTTTGTTACAGTTAGAGTTTAATTAAGATGGCAAATAGGATGCAAGATGATGATATTGCGGCGGCTTTACCCGAAGGAAATGTGTCAGAAGACGATGAAAACTATCCCTCCGACAGTGATCATAATCCCGATCACATCAGCGAGGCGTCTGAATCTGATAGTGATACGGGCATAGAAGACCCTGAACCTGTAGAAGAAACGCCTCTAACGCTACCATTTTATACAGGCGAAGATGGCAAAACCAAGTGGTACTTTAGTACCACTTGGTTTTGCCAAGTGTGCCAAGTGTGCCACCTGAGAACATAATTACGCATTTGCCTGGGTGTAAACCTGTTCGTGACAAAAAACACACTTGGAATGCTTTGAAATATTTTTTACAGAAGAACTTGTTAACATTGTTTTGAAGTATACTAACCAAAAGATTAGTTTGAGATTGGAAAACTCTGAACCTAATCCGTCAACCAAAGAAACAAACAGAGAAGAGCTAAAAGCTGTTTTCGGATTATTGATACTGGCAGGTTTATATAGATCTAACAGACAAAGTATTATAGATTTATGGGCTAATAATGGCACTGGTATCGAAATATTTAGAAATACTATGACTAAACAGAGATTTACGTTCTTGGTAAATAACTTGAGATTTGATGACGCATCAACGAGTACAGAAAGAGCTGCTATCGATCGTTTGGCACCAATAAGAGACGTATTTGAAGTTTTCGTTAAAAACTGTCAGGATGCCTATACACCGTTTGAGTACTTGACTGTCGAAGAAGAACTTGTGGCCTTTAGAGGAAGATGTTCTTTCCGTTCAATTAATAAATATATAATACATTCCGTCTAAACCAGCTTGGTATGGGTTAAAAATTTATAAACTAGTGGATGCAAAAACATTTTATACAATGAACTTGGAAATTTACTGTGGTAAACAGCTTCACAGTAGCCCTTACGTAGTGAGTAACAAGCCATTCGATGTTGTAGACCGTTTAGTTAGATGTGTGTCTGGATCTGGAAGAAATATAACAATGGATAATATTTTTATGCTGAAAATTTACTTCGAAACCACAAATTGACTGCTGTTGGTACCCTACGGTCAAACAAGGCGTGCCTTCCTACCCAATTCAAAGCCAGACGTCAAGAAAAATCGTCGATATTTGGTTTTCAAAAAGACATAACCATTGTGTCTTATATACCTAAACCACGAAAGTTTGTACATATGATGTCCTCATTACACCATGATGATGAAATAGATCCAGAAAGCGGGACCCAAAGAAAACCATCTATTATAACGTTTTACAACGCGCCAAAAAGTGGAGTCGATGTAGTTGACAAGCTTTCAAGAACATACGATATTTCCCGCAACAGTAAACGCTGGCCACTTACGCTGTTTTTCTTCTTGCTGAATCATGCAAATATAAATTCTTTTATAGTACATATGTTCAACAACAAGATTGAGAGAAAGAAAAGCAATATAAGGAGGAACTTCATCAAGTAATTGGGACTTTCATTGCTGGAAGATCATCTAAGAAAAAGAAAAGACAATCCTCATGTTCCTCGAGATATTAGAAAACGTGTGCACCAAATTTTAGATGAAGAGGTTCCAGGTCCGCCACAAAAGCAACCAAGGAAGTCGCAAAGGTTTTTGTCCAAGAAATAAAGATAGGAAGACGTTGAACGATTGTTTCAAATGCAATGTTGCAATATGTAAGGAACACGCAAATCTGATGTGCCAAAATTGTACTGATTTAGATAACGAATGGTCTCGCTAGAATAGAAAAACTTAGTTATTTCTATATTTTTTTATAATGTTACATGTTTCTAGTTTTATAATATTGGCTTAGACGAAAAGCTCCTATTAATATAAAAGACCCACGTGTTTTTTTTTAGATATAAGGAAAATTAGTTGAATTTTAGGAGAACTTTTGTATTTTGTGTTCTTTTTTATAATTAAAGTTTATTTTCTTAATTATTTTTTTGAAAGAAAGAAAGAAAGAAAAAGCATTTATTCACGGTCTAATCACAGTAGATACAAAACAAAGCAAGAAATTGGAATTAAACAAAAAATAAAATAATATTTCCCTAAATTAACAAAAATGTAAAAATAATATAAAATGAGTCTGTGTAGCAGCATAAGACCGTGAAATGGACAGGACTCAGTAAAAATCGAGATACAGAAACACGAATTGCTCTGATCCCGACACTGGTTTTCAGTCCAGCCCGCACTCCGACGTAACTCGGACGGCTGCCTCAATGCACATGCTATAATGCGACGCGGAATATATAAAAAAAAATATGTGTTTTTAAATTCTAATTCACATAAATAGTGGATATCATTAGTCTAATGAAGGTAAGTACAAAATAGAATTAACGTTTTCCTTCTAAATATATCATTTTTATTTATTAAAAATGCGGAATAAACGTAGGCTAAAGAATAAAGGTAAGAAAATGATTGTCAGAAAAAGCAAATTTATTATATAAATATTTAAATAAAATAGTTTTATATATTATATAAAGTGAAAATTAAAAATATCTACATAATTTATGGGACTGAGATTACTGACGTGTTGAAAGAGCTTAACCTCCCACCAGTTTATTTTATAGATCGGTATTTTTTTGTTCCGAAAGTAAGTGTAACCTGTATTTGATTTTAAACCCACTAATTGTTTTCAGGTCACGCAGTGGAGGCGGGAGGTTATTCCAACATTTAGTGGCATTATATTTAAAACTACCTCTGAAAGCGGCCGACCGGTAGAAAGGATATACTAACTTGTAATTGGATGATCTGGTATTATACTGCTTATTTTGATCTTTAGACCAAATCAACTTATTATATAAATATAAAGGTTCTTTATTTTTAATAACTCCAAACAAAAGTGAGGCAAAGTGTAGTCGCCTGCGACAGTCCATTTTTAAAATATTAGCGTTATTAATGAAAGGGGTTACATGTGCTCGTGGTGGTACGTTGAAACAAAAGCGTGCACAGGCATTCTGTACCCGCTGTATTATTTGCTGTGTTCGAGATAATAGTCGTGGGCCTATGAGAGAATCCGCGTAATTGAATTTTGAAAGCACGATAGACTCGCAGAGATGTATACGTAAGGTGACACTTAGGTACTCGCGAATACGGTAAAGTACTTTCAACCTATAAAAACAGTTACGTGCAATATTCATTACATGTTTCTCAAAACGAAGTTTGTCGTCCATTATTACCCCCAAATTTCTGACTTCAGTGACTCTCACAATAGGTTCGTTGTTTACAATAATGGCAGGGTGGCTTAGTGTGATCTTTTTTATTTGATTTGGCGATCCTAGAATAAGGTACTGCGACTTTTTTGGATTGAGAACCAATGCGTTACGCTCTGACCACGAAGATATCCGACCCAAATCCAAGTTCAATTTTGTCACTGCTACTTGAACATCACAAGGCTTAAACGATATATATATCTGTAAGTCGTCAGCGTACATGTGGTACTTACAATACTCTATATTTTTAATAATGTCTGCACTATATATTATAAAAAGTAAGGGACCTAAAATGGATCCTTGCGGTACTCCTCGGTTCACAGGGCGCTCCCCAGAAATAGCTTTACCTTTTCCATTTAACTGTATTTCAACTTGCTGTGACCTATTTTTAAAGTAACTGGCAAACCATTGGGTTGCGTTTCTGCTTAAACCATAAAAATATAATTTTGAAAGAAGTAATGGGATATTGAGGGTTTCAAAGGCACGCGAGAAATCAAGTAATGTTAAAATAGTACCCTCACCACTGGATTGTGCAGTCAGTATATCATCCACGACCTCTATAAGCGCTGTGGTAGTGCTGTTCTTCTTTCTAAAGCCAGACTGCAGCTCAGGAAGGATGTTATTTTGCGTTTTAATTATTACTTTATAACTAAATAAGCCAAAAACCCTATTTAAGCCGTTGTATTTAAATAATACCCTTAATACATAGTATATTTACTAAAGGTTATTTTAACCCCACGTTGTACGGGTAAGGTTTTTTTTTCGCCTTGTATGCCGAAGGTTAACCGTAATTGTATTAATTAAATTAATTGTGTAGTGTAATTTGTATTTGATTTGATAAATCGTAATTTGTATTTGTAGTAACTTGTATTAAATTTAATTTGGTAGTACTCGTATCTAGTAGTGATGCCATCTTAGACCTCAGGGATGACAACACATCTGTATTTTGATTTTATATGAGGATAGATGTGTAGATATCGATGGGCAACAGCATGTACTTACCATCAAGTGGACAGTGCGCTCGTTTGTTACAATAATATGATAAAAAAAACCACACATTTCCGTAACTGCATGAATTCGAGCGTTCCCGTCAATTAGTGGTGCTGACGCCATTGGCACGGAGCCAGCAGTGATAAAGTATCCCAAACTTATACGTCCATAACGGCTACAGCATTCGCTGATGATAGCAATGGGTTGACGTCATTCGCTTGCAGGCGGAACTTCGCTGAGCTGCGAATGCTCACAGCTTGATAGGCAGACCAGATCGAGTCCATAGTGTAGAGAACCGCTTCTCGAGCAGGTTATGGCCCGAATGGCCGTAGTGGAGGAGGCTTGCTCCGAACTTATGGCCTCGGGAGCGGAACAAGGAGTCCTAGACTTCTGCGTCGCGGACTATGAGCAATTTTTTCGCTCACGGACGACTTGATCGAGGCGGAGGCCAAGTATGCTAGTGACGCGCGTAAAGCTCGGCTGAGTGGCCTGCTCGAGTCCCCGGAAGCAGCCTACTCAGCCAGAGCTGTTGAGACGACTCCCAACTCTGGACCTGCCAAGGTTCTCCGGGGTCCTTTCCGAATGGCTAACCTTTGTGGGACTGTTTGACAGCCTTGTGGACGCCCGGAGGGACTTACCTACTAACACCAAGCCAGAAGATGGCTTACCTCCTGGCCTCACTGGAGGGGGAGGCCCGGGGCGTCGTCGGCCATCTGAAATTGTCGGACGACGCCTACCAGACCGCTCGGGACGTCCTTGACAAATAATTTTTTTTAAATAAAATTTTGAATTTTTTGGGTTCCGTAGTTACACGACAAGGTGAATAAAACCGCGGACGGACGGTCGGACTTGGCGAAACTATAATAGTGCCCACTGACGATACGTCCATTAATCCAAATGGAGTGGTAAGCGTCCAAAATCGTTCCGTGAATGGTAAAAACATACTCCATTTGGGTGGACTACATCCAACTCTGGATTTCCAAATGGATTGAAATCCATGCGTCCAGTCCAAATGGACGTCGTCCGCGGCCGTCCGTCAATGCCAAAAACGTGCGTCACGCCAAATGGAAGCAGTT